AATCTATAAATAGATGGAAAGACCGAGGTCTTAGCCAAGTGGGAATGAGCAAGGGTCTATGTAGGGATAAGTCATAGGATCAAATCCCCTCTCCCATATTTATTAATTATTTTATTGTGTGTCCTTTTGACTCATTTGCACCAAAAACTAAAAAATTAAAAAAAAAAAAAAAATAGATAAAGAAGAATATACATACCACAAGTTAATTAATGGAGGACACACTAATACACTATGATATAAAGATGCCTTGAGAAATGATACACATACACATATACATACATATATATATATACAAATTGTATTCTTCACATATATAGATATTCCTCCATTTTTAATGATTGCAATAGTTGGAGTTATACGGAGTATTTGGCAACTTATAACTACTAAAATTTGCAATATTCGATGAATATCATACATAAATTATGATACTTTAAAAATAATAACAAAGACTTTTAATTTGTCCTGAACAAAAAGTAAAAAGATGGTCAATACTCAAGACAACATAGAAAAAGACATCTCAAAGAGAAAAACTACTTGTGCAAGAAATACAACTCGTGCTTTTTTTCAGCCTCTCAGGGTTATGCATATCATATGGTATTATAATATTATATACAGCACAGTACCTAGTAACAATGTCACGCTAACACATCTTGACAGCCCCACCAAATTCGTTATAAATTGTAGTTAGGTTGCTACAATACGTCAATTCTAATTATTTTCATTTCACATACATCAGCTTTGAAATGGCAATAAAATGCGGCGTTTTATAATACACGGCCTAATTAGTAAGCATTAAATATATTTCTTAAAATGATACGAAGCACTTTGTAAATCATACGAAGTATAGCCAATAAACTAACAACAAAATCACGTATCAACCATTCAACCTAGAATCACTAGTTTAATTCACTAATTGTCTTGTAACAAATGAGTTGAACTTTCAATGACGAAAAGAGTGGAACAGTATAAGTATTGTATTCACTATTCAGTACATTTGAGGAAGGTAGATAGAAACTACAATCGAAATTGTGATGGGTATTCCATCAAAGTTTTAAGAAAGAGATGAGATAAATAAGCACAATTTAGACCAAAATTCGCAAGAAACAAATAAAATTCAATAGCATAAAGAAGAAACAGGGAATTCCATAGAATTTAGAAAATCAAAGAAATAGAAATTCCAATTCCACAAGCAAGTCAAGTAAAAGCAACGAAGAAGAAAACGAAATGAGAGAGAAATGGGAAAAGCTCTGACCATTGAGTGTGGAATTAGAATTGAATCTCGACCACAACCCAAAAAATAAATCAATTTCTCTCTCCTACAAAATACCCTTTTAGGAATTCAATAAAGGGTATAAAGAATTTTCTAATTGTCTGCTGGAAATTGCTTGGGAAGATGACATTTTGGTACATTTTTCTGGGGTTTTCAGAGGATTTTTTTGGACTTCCTGAGAATCTGAGATTAAAGATGGTGGAGGACTTGGTGGTGGGGGAGGGCATGCTAGGAATTTGTAATTTCGATCCGCTTTCTGCATTTCTCCAATTCCACAAGTCCGCCCGTTCCGACTTCGCTGAAGCCGGGCGCGGGCCGGGTCATTGTGTCTCGTGATCAAACAAACCGTGTTTGAAATGGATCAAGAAAAAGTCGTGTTGTAAAGGTTCGTATTGTGCCGGTTGTGCGAGGAGTGAAGAGTGGAGGGATGGTTAGTCCCTTCAAGGTGTGACTTGGGTTTGACTCCTCATCCTGTATCTTACCGTTCAAAAATGATAAAAAAAAAAATTGTGTCGGTTGCCTATGAGTGTCCTATATCTTACCGGTCAACTTAGGGTATGTTCTCGTTGACTGAACTGAACTGAAATGAACTTATTAATTAGTGATTTTTAACTACGGATTAGTGATCTTTGATTATTTACTATTATACATATGTGTATATACAAATATACATTGTTTCAAAAAAGAATAAATACAAATATACATATTAAAATATTTAAGAAAAATATACTATTATTATTATTATTGTTGTTGTTGTTGTTGTTGTTATTATTTATTGATTATTATTGTTGTTGTTGTTGTTGTTATTATTATTATTATTTATTGATTATTATTATTATTATTATTATTTATTTATTTATTTATTATTATTTATTGTCGTCGTTGTATTGTTGTTGTTGTTGTTGTCGTCGTCGTCGTTGTAATAAGAGCTTAAAATAATGAAATTTGGCTTTATATCATTAGCAATATCATTACACATGAGCTGAGATGAACTGAACTGAACTGAGCTGAACTGCACTGAACTGAGCTGAGTTGAGCTGAAATGAACTAAACTGAACTGAACTGGGCTGAACTAAACTGAACTGAGTTGAACTGAGCTGAACTAAACTGAACTGAGTTGAACTGAGCTGAACTGAACTGAACTGAGTTGAACTGAGCTGAACTGAACTGAACTAAACTAAACTGAACTGAATTGAACTGGATTTCAACATATGAGAACAAGCCCTTAGTGTGCTCACCTCGAGTTGTTGGCTAAATTTGAAAATGATGTCCATGAGGCCATGCTCCATCGGCTTGTCTCTCATGTCACCACATGTAGGGTTATTATCATGTTGTGGCTGACTAGCCCTTAAGATTCAGCCCGATGAAGTATATGCCTAGCTCTAAGCCATTTTCTTATCTTGGCAATGGAAAAAAAAAAAAAAAAAAGCACAATGGAACTCGAAATTTATTCAAAACTACATATATTCAAACAAAGTTAAATGTTGTTAATCAATTTTATTTTATTAAAATGAAATTAAATCCTTTTTTAAAAGATTAATGTTTTTCTTACGGAGTATAAGGCTTTGGAAAAATACAAGTTAATCTGCCAGATAAACGAATTTTTGTTAATCGGATTGAAATTTTTGTAAATATATTGAAATGCAGGGTCATTTATTCAGTACTTTTGGTGAGTTGTCCAATTACTGTTTGCCTTTTGCTTTTACTGTTTGGTGAGAAAATTACACGTGTACCCCTCAACTAGTACATGAAAAGACGCATATACCCCTCCACTGGTATTTAAAAAGACAATTATACCCCCAGATAAACAAATTTTGTTTATTTGTTTATCTGGGAAATTGACTGGGTATCCCTCTAAGGCTTTAATGTTGGTTTTAAGAAATTAAAGGTATAAAAAATAAAAGTTAATGAATTAGAACATAATAAAGGTGAATTTCACTTTTATTTAGAAACGAGAGATTATATACATGGGATAATCTAATATCTAATATATATATATATATATAAAAAGAGGAGGTTTTTCCCGCGTTTGTAGAGAGCCACGTAGGATTTTGTTAATTTAAAAAAATTATAGAGCGCCACATAAATGTGCGATGTAGGGTTGGGATTTAATGTGTGCCACATAGGTTAAAAAAATATTAAAATATTAAAATTATAAAAGTCAAGGTGAAAAATAACAATATATATCATCTATCTTTATGTACTCAAAAAAAAAAAAAACTAAAAATTTTATGTGCTATACGTTTCACTGGCCCAAGCAATCGATCATATATCTCACCAAGAAAATAAATAAAGAAATAAAAGTATTGATAATTATCATCTATCTTTATGTACTAAAAAAAAAAAAAAAACCCTTTAAAAATTAATCCTTTTCACCTACATGCATTATCTTTTAACAAACATTACTGACTTTGTTCCTTTAATTATTATGATAAGCAAATTTAACGTAAGTTAGTTTGCTCATAGTTGATATATTATTAGTCAATATGTTTCAAATATTATTATTTCGAAGGAAAAAAAAATTAATTAGGAAAAAGATAATAATGATTACAATTTTAATAATGATAAAATTTAAGTTAGGAAAAAGATATGAATTGTTTTAATTAGCTTATGATTTGTTATTATTATAAATAGGCATTAATTTAATCCACGCGCCACCAAAGAATCACGCAATACTTCATACTGTCATACAAAGCAATTTACCACTTTATATTGTGGTTTAAGAAAATGTACGTCTAATTCCTTAAACTCAAATTTTTTTATAAATTAACAATGAATATGATGAGGTATTCACAAATAATATTATTTTTAACTACTCCGTATTTTTTTTCATTGCATTGTTTTCTTAGGTCTATTTCGTTGATTCGAGAACTTAATTCTTCCAAAAATGATTGAAAAATTAAAGTACGCGGATATATTGAACTTTCGAAAACAGTTTAATTAGTTTGGACATGGTTTTAATTGACGAAGAGGTATGCCTTTTATTTTATTTTTTTTAGTAATAATATATAATTCTTTTTTTGAAAATTTATTGTGTAACTTACCATATTATGTTAACTTACAATATTTTTTGCATATGTAGGGTGATTATGTCCATGCTTCAATCAAAGGAAAATTTGTCCAACAATTTCGTTCTAAACTGGTTGAAGGCAAAGTTTACATAATTCGATATTTTTTTGTTGTACCTAACAAGAATGAATATCGTGTTGTGAGCGATAACAAGATAATGATACAATTTTTTCAAAATACAACTGTCAAGGGCGTTGCAGATAATAATAAAATTCCGTTGCATAGATTTGATTTTGTTCAATTGCAACATTTAGATAAGTTCCGTAGTAATGCTACACTCCCCGGTATATATTTTACAGATTTTCTATTTTTAGTTTTAAAAAATTTCTAGTGTTATCTTTTGCTTAACTATTTTTTATAATTATTTTTTTGTTTCGTACATCAATTTGTCCTACAAGATGTGGTTGGCATGGATGTTAACGAAATTGGAGATTCAATTGAAATAGAAGATAAATGGTAATTATTATTTTAATATATTTGTATATATTATTATTATTTTATCAATTACAATTTACTAAGATTTATATTTGATTAATTTTATATTTATTAGTAAATTATTTGTATTTTGATATCATGGTTAATGGACAACGAATCCAATTAAAGATTTGGGATAATGTATTTCATGAATATTCAAGACAAAAAGACCTACTTGCTGATTCTACTAAGCCTTTTGGTATAGTTGTTACTTCAACAATGGTCAAATATTTTAATGGTAAGTATCATATATTAGTTATTATAATAAATTAGTTTTTAAATATTTACAAGGAATAACCTAATTTGCCATTGTCATTTTGTTTACAGGAAAAATTAATCTAAATACTTCTGCATCAACCAAAATTTATATTGAGCTTCAAATTTCCGAGGTTGATGAATTGAAATCTTTATGGAGGTATGTTATTTCAATAATTTTATTTTTTTATAATATTGTTTCTAAATAAATATACCTCTTATATATTATCATTATAATGCAGTGAGAAGTTAGATAATGCTACCATTGGAAAACTTGAAATTCAGAGTATTAAGATTTGGACCCGAAGAAATCAACTCTACAAAAGTTGATATTTTAACGCTTATGAATCATGTACAAAAAACTTTAGAAAAGGTATTTTAATACATCACTTTATTATTCCTTTAAAAAAAATACATCATTTTATTATATTTAATATGAAATATATGATAAATCTTAAATTCAAACCTAATTTTATTTTTAAATCATATAGGATTTGATCTTCTATTGCATGGCTAAAGTGGATGCAATTATGAGTGAATATAGTTGGTATTATATCGCATGCCCAGCATGTCAAAAACGCATCACTCCAAGAAAAACTGATTTTTGGTGCTTTGCTTGTGAGAAACAAATTGAAAGGCCCATCCCAAGGTTTGTTTCAAATTTCTTCTTTATCCATATTATGATAATAGATTAAATAAATAATAAATCATATACTACCTAATTTTTTCATATATTTTTTTTCCCAATCAGATATCGTTTGGAGCTTAGTGTTATCGATCACAGTGAGTCAACAATATTTGTAGTTTTTGATGAAGACGCTAAGAAACTAATAGGACAAGATGCAAGTACTCTTTTTGAGGCTCATACTTATGAAAAAGGTTTTCATTATTGTTTTTTAACAATAGTTTAAAGATTAAATTGTTCTATAAATGCTTTTATCACTTATTTCAATCAATATTGATAGATCAAAGATCATAAAGATGATGATAATGACAATGAAGATGATGATACACAAATTCCAAAGATGATTGCAAATATCATTGGAAGAGAGTTAGTGTTCAAAGTTAAAATCACCGCTTATAATCGTACAACAAATCGACAAACTTTTACGGTGATGAGAATTCTTGACAAAAGTGTCATTGAGGTACTAAATAATTGTTACAAGTATTTAATGTTTATTTAGAAGTCATGAATCTTAAATTTTAATTTCTCAAAACTTTACATAAATAATTTTGATGTAGAATAAAGATGTCATAAAAGGTAGTGAAGATGCTTCAAAAGATGAAATTACAGTCATTGAAGAAACCGCAAAACGCGCTTTTGATAATATCGATTTAACGAAAAGGATCATGATTCATCCGACCAAATCACATCAAAAAAGATAAAGGTATCTATATTTTAGAATATATATAATTCATTTAGATATTTCTGACTAATTCTAATTTTATCTTATAAATTATTTAATAGTATACTAATATTAACACTTTAATCTGTATACTTTGTGTATGATGCAGGTTTAGTGTTATGAATCAAGGAGACAAGGATTCTCTCGAAATATAATAAAACTCCATGTTCAAGAAATAGAGATTTAGATGATAGGAACAAATAATACTTATGTTAGCCTTTTAATTTAGTTAATCATGTAACAACTTTCGAGATTCTAGAAGATAGTTTTTATTTTATACTTCGTATATGTTTTATTATTAACATAAAATCATTTACTTAATACTTTTGTTTACCTTTATTTTTGAACTAGCTTAAAATCCCGTGCAATGCACAGTTAATAAATAATTATATTACACTAACTTCTACAAAAAAAAATGTATAAAATAAATATATAAAAAAGAAAGTAATTAAATATGATGTAATAGCTTAGTTATAATAGGTAATTTGATAGTTAAGGAAGTTTATTTTAGATTTTGTACAAAGAATAAATTATAATTTAGATACAAACCTTATTTTAATGTAAAAATAGTTTTTTTTTAGTAAGTAATTTTGGAGGGAAAAATTTTTACATTATGTTGCCAAGTGTCCCTCTAAGTTTCGCTTTTAGTATAATGTAATTGATTGTTATATCAATTTTAATTTTATTACACACCCTAATAATTGCTTTTAAATTTTTAATACAAGTATAACACCCTTGGTATAATAATAACAAACAAATACATATAAAGAATAAGCAAAGATGATAAATCGTGCCCACATTGATTGATACACATTAATTATTTAGTTTAAAAGTAAAAAATAGGTAAAAATTGTTGGAATTACAATATGATTAAAAAATAAGTATGATTTTTTAACACTACATAATTTTCTTGACACTAATAAGGGAATAAGTAAGATTTTTTAACACTACATCAAGTTTACCAAAAATGCCATGGAATTGGAATCAGTGCATATCCTTATTAAATGATGCTCAACTTTTAGCCGAAAGTTAGTCGTAATTCAATAGTTTGTCAGAACAAAGATCATAAATTATAATACAATATTAAAAAAAAAAAAAATAGTAACTATAACAAGAGTTTATATATATATTTTTTTTTTTGACGAGAAAAAAAGTTTATAAGATAAGATAAAGTTTTCCATCAAAAAAAATAATAATAAAGATAAGATAAAGTTGAGAAATTTACAATAGTTAGTCTTCATCCTTTAAATTTTATTATGATAAATTCTACAACATGATACTTATTTATATTTTTTATATCATAATCTTATTGAATATAAGATAAACTTGAGAAATTTACAAATTTAGCCTTCACCCTTATAATTTTTTTATCATAAATTCTACAACATGAGATAAGACTGATATTTCCACTTGCGTATATGAGTTCATATAGCTAATAAGCTAATTTGGAATTTTTACTTCTTTATATTTATGAATAAGCAAAACTTTGATACACAAAATACAAAACTTGCAACTTTTGTTACAAAAAACTCACAATGAACTCAGAAATCAACAAAATAGTTTTGCAAAGAGAAAGAAGAAAAGGAGACGGATGATAATCAATGAAAAAAGACAACAAAGACGATTGGAAACAACATCAACAAACGTGCAATTTCATTACAGGACCTCCGCAATGAACCAAGAAACTAACAAGAATGATCTAGAAATTGACAAAAAAAATTTGCAAAGAGAAAGAAGAAAAAGGAGACGGATGATAATCAATGAAAAAAGACAACGAAGACGGTTGGAAACAACATCGGGTATGTCATCTGAAATCTACCTAATTTCTAACCGTACACATTGAACCAATGCAACAGATTCAAACAAGTATATAGATTATAGAATTTTACATTAAATGCAATAACATTTGAGAAATATGCTACTAAATAAGAAGCAAATACTCTCACTTGATTATAAATAGATTTCCAGAACATCCATACCTGAATTCAGGGGTTTATTGACACCTTAGACTGCTGATTAAACTTGTTGTGTATATCAATAATTTATAATACCTTCTAAGCAATTAGACTATGCATGATATTTATTAAATTTTGCAGACTAGCAAAACTTATAGTCTAATTTAATTTGCAATATATTTGATTGATTAAAGCAAACCAGCAGACAGACCCTGCACCAAAAAGAGTCCAAATGAGATAGATGACCCATAAGTGTATTAAAGCAGCCAAATGAATAACTTCAAAAAAAAACCCAATTAATATAAGGAAATACATCTAACATTGCAAATCAATTAACAAAATGACAAACTCAATCACCATAGGATAGCACGTTATTTCCACAATTAATTCATGTCCCATTATACTACCAATCTGCTGAAAGTCTAATTTAATTTGCAAGATATTTGATTGATTTTAAAATGCAGGAACTACAAATGAGAACAAGAAATATGTGTGTTTAGGACCACCTGAGTATGAATGTCCAGATTGTAAAGCACTAATGTGGTATGAAGAGAGGGTAAAGAAAGGGAGCAGCAAGAATTGCACAACCTTTAACATGTGTTGTCGAGAAGGGAAAATACAATTGCCAAAATTAAAAGAACCTCCAAAGCTCTTAGCAAACTTACTAGATTACAGGGGAGATAGAAGCACTGCAATGTTTAGGCAGCTTATTCGTCCTTACAACTCATGTTTTGCCTTCACTTCGATGGGGGCTAAAATTGATGCTTCAATAAACTCAACTCCAGGCCCGTATGTTTTCAGAGTTAGTGGGCAGAACTATCACCGCATAGGATCGCTGCTCCCTGTTGATGACAAACAACCATCATTTACTCAACTATATATATACGATGGAGCTGCTCCAGAGATCAATATGAGAACAAATGCCGTCTGCAAAAATGATAATAGCCCAGAATTAGATTCAAATTTACTTACCAAATTGAAAGACATGCTAGACAAAGTGAACCCTCTAGCTCAAATCTTTCGCAAGGCACAAGAAAGAATAAAACAAATGACAGGAGAAAATTGGATCATCAAGCTATTAGAAACAAGGAACAACAAAAATAAGGTATACAATGCACCAACATCATCTGAGATAGCCGCTCTAATAGTCGGAGATATTGGACACAACACTTGCGGAAGGGATATTATAATTGAGCACAAATCTGAAGGATTACAAAGAATCAGTGAACTGCATCCAAGTTTCATGGCTCTACAATACCCTCTACTTTTCCCATATGGTGAAGATAGCTACCATCTTGGGATATTTTACAACAATAAAAAAGAATCCGGAAAAGGCAAAAGAAAGTGTGTAACAATGAGAGAGTATTATGCATATAGGCTGCAAACTCGAAAAATAGAAGCCCAAACTCTAATTCGTGGAGGCCGACTATTCTCACAATTTATAGTTGACTGCCAATGTGCAATCGAAGAAGAAAGGTTGTCATATATCCGACACAACCAGCCACAACTTAGGTGTGAAATTTACAATAATCTCAGAGATACAATGGTGAATGGAGATACAACCGGGGCCGGAGTGGGGAAAAGAATAATCCTGCCCGCATCTTTCACGGGAGGCCCAAGATATATGTACCAAAACTACCAAGATGCAATGGCAATTTGTAGATGGTATGGCAGCCCACATTTGTTTATAACATTCACTGCAAACCCAAAATGGCCTGAAGTAGCTAGAAGAGATGATGAATCACATAGAAGGACAAAAAGTGGAAGATCGGCCCGATATCATGGCACGAGTTTTTAAGCTCAAGTTAAAGCAACTAATGAAGTGTCTGAAGGAAGACCACTACTTTGGACCTGATGTGGCAGGTACGAAATTAATGATAAAAAAAAAGCAACTAATGAAGTGTCTGTTGTTGATT